TCGTCGAGGGAATTTGCACAAGGAGGAACAAGGAAGAAGCGGGGGCACCCCTTTCTCTGGGGGGTTTGGGCCGTCCATCCGCCCTACATACGTACGAGGGATGGCTGTTTACAACGAGCCGGGCACGCACGCCGCTCTCTGTTCTACAGAATCAGGGCTGCGCGCCGGACACCCAGGGCTGCCACTTTACACTTCTTATTTTAAATTGCCTTTCTTAAATTATTTATTTAAAATGTGTGGTATTTTTAAGAAATTGTAGTAGTGTCCTAAATTCGAATCTACGTGTGTACTTAAAAGTAGTGAAATAGAAAATAAATTTATTTTTTCATACATCAAACGAAATAAATTGTTGCGTGCATGTTTTGCGATATTCTTGTTACACTAAATGTAATACAGGTGTTGTGCAAATTAATGTTAGTATCTAAATGTTGTATGATATTGGGTTTCAAGCCTTTAGTACTAACCAAAATGATTAAATAGTTCATATCGCAACAATTTCATACTCTATTTATTTCATGTACATGAAATAAATAAAATTTTTAAAACAAAATGAATTGCCCAGCAAGTATTGCTTCCAGTTTCAGAAAAGAAAACTAGAAATCAATCCAAAAAGAAAACATAAAAAACTCAAACCAAAAGAAAGAAATTACGAAAAGCTTTCCTTATTTTCATTTAAATAAACGGCGCCAACTTTGTAAAGAGAACTAGAAGCTAGAAAAAGTTTAAAATATATTTTTAAATATTCAAATAGTCTTGAATAGTTCGAATTAACCCTAGCGGGCTGGTCGCCGTACTAGATGACGCAGGGTGGTCGAAAGGGCCGTGGGGGTGCGGCGAGCGATTCGGGGGTCGCGCGGGGTCGGGAGCGGGACGCCGTCCCCGCACCCCGCGTCCCCCGCTGGCCAGGACGCGGACGGTAACACGAGTGCGCCTATGCGAGGCATGTATCTTGGACGAGCAGATATAACAGAGAAGTAGCCCCCAGTACCAAGCTTCTAATCGAACGCAACGGAGTATGCTCTACTTACTTTATATTTTTTGAAGAATTGTTTTTTCTTTGGTCATTGATACGCTTTTACTGTTAACCGATGACGACGCAATGTGGTGTATGAACTTTAGTTAGACACACAACACAAACACTTTTTTAAGGCGATTATCGCATCTTCAGCATGTAAGTGTCCATTGATAAGTCTCTTCGCATACGCAGAAGGTTTGAGTATTAATTACCATTCTTTGCTTAAGGCGGTATTATATTAGCAATTTAAATCCAGGTTTCCTCAAGATATTTTCCTTCACCGTATGTCAGTGTTGTCTAAATAATTAAGTAGAAAATACATTATAACCAGGAATAAGTTACATTGGTATTTGCCAGATTCCGAATCCCCACACTCGTGCAGGAGAAGGAACGGGGGGTTTTAGAGTCGGTAAGAGTTTTACACTCCCTCCCGCCCGACCCTGGGCGAGAGAAGTCATTTGATGATTTTCCTCTCACAAAAAAACCCTAATGCATGAAAAGTGGGATTCTTAAATTCCGGAAATGTCATGCTTTTTTAAGAAATTTTATTAGCTAATGTTCTATGCAGTTAGTTACTCTGCGTTAAACAAGTACCCAAACTACATAATCTTAATTGATAATAATTTATTTATATTTTAACGTGTGTATTTTACTAGGCTTTTATCCTATGCCCAAGGTATATTTACAAATTGCCACTGCCCTAACCGTGCAGTCATCATTTGCAAAATAAAGTATACTACAATTTAGATTAAATATTTTTCGGCTCCTGAATACATATGTATTAATTAATTTCTGAAGTAAAAGTGCTTTGAAAAGTGAACGTGGGAGAGAAAAAAGGGAGATTTGATTGGATTGATCCTTTTTTGTGCGATGAAAATCGTCAAATGACTTGTCCCGCCTAGGGTCGGGTGGGAGGAATTGTCAAACTATTACTGCCTAAAAAAACACCGTTCTTTCTCCTGCTCTGGGCCCTAATTGCGCTTGTCCTGCAACCCCGGTTGAACATCAGCCGAATAGAGCCCCGTCTGTGGTGGTCCATTGATCGGATTGATACTGGGGTTTCACAGAAGACCGGCGTGATATGGCTCCAATCCCAATACCGGAGGCTGACGACGCAGTTGTAGTTCCTGTGATATTACAGGTATATATTTGCTTTTATGCAAGAAACGCATTTGAAACTCCTATACTCTATATAAATTGGGGAGCACAAATATGTATTGATACTTAACTTCTCATGACATAAAATACGATTAAAATGGTTATACCATCGCATATTTTGGCCTTGGTCTACCCAATGTCTTAAAAATGTTGTGTCACGAACTGGCTTTTCAAGGTTGATTTTCTTTTTTAATTATTAAAATTTTCTTTGCTCAGACATATTTATTATTGACATGTGACTGCGATGGCATACCGGAAAACAAAATTTTGCCTATGACTCTTCGGTATTACGGCTATCCAAGAGCAGCACTGATTATACATTGCTGACGCTGCTGACGTAATGATGATGATGATAAAGATGATGATCAGACTGTTTGCCTCCTATTCCATAAAAAAATCGGAATGTAAGTACTTGTACTTATTCTTTGACTAATCTGAGCAAAGATGGTACCTTTTTTTGAGAAAGATATCATCATATCATCAAATTTTACCCAGGGTACTGCGAGTAGGAGTTTTTTGCAGACTGAAGAACGACCCGGTCCTTTTCCAGGCTGCAGTACTTTATTAAGTTAGAACCGCAACCTCCGCTAGTTATTTCGGTACTTAATTTGATGAAGCAAAAAAAACAACAATATCTTTTATATTAACAATTAATGGATTAAGTAGATGTTCCTTTATACATACATCATAGATGACTATAATGTATAATCTACTTCACTATTACTAGGTATTGAATTCGCGTGAAATAATTGTTAATAATCATACATACAACTAACTCCCATTAACTAAACCGAAACTAAAATCAATAAAATTAAATAAATATTTCAAGTAGAGCAGCTTTCCTGGCGCTCGCAGCTATTTTACATGTGCGCGGCCTATAGCCACCGTTCTATCGGTAGGTACCGCTAGTCTGAATAGCATCCCAGCGACTCAGAACTGAATATATTCCGTGAGGTCCGTGTTCCTCCAATACCCGGTTTATACCCGGTTTTTCTTCAATCACGGTCGATATTTTTTATACCCGGTATTTTTCTCTTTTTCGTCAAATGTCGGGTGATTAAAACGGACGGGTTGTCATTAAGGAGGTTTAATTTTCACTTGCATTGGTTGGGCGCTTGGTTTTCGATTTGAATACGTTAGTAGGGTTTGGTATGGATTTGTTTTTTTTTACGTACATCTACTATATAGGTTTGGTTTTGTTATGAACTTTGATCTTACTTATATTAAAAATGGGAAAATAGCGATGGTTGGATGTTTTTTACTCAATCACGCCAAAACGGCTGGACGGATTTGTATGAAATTTGGCACAAGCATAGGATGCACTCCGAAATTAGACACAGGTTTATCATATCATCTATGATACCACACGAGCAAAGCCTCGGGCGGAAGCTAGTATTTGATAGGGTGTTAATAGGCAGATTTCTATTATCTGTTTTGTTATAATAACTATCGTATCTTACGAAATCAATTTTAATTAAAACACGTATGGTTGCTTTTATCCTCATATATTATTACAAGATAAAATTCATTTAATATTGTCGTAACAAACACCTTATATAATAATAGCGACACCACTAAACGCAACGGACAAATGCAGTAAAACAAAGAAAAAAAAAATCAATAGAACCTCTCTATTTCCGTAATGCGAAAAAGTCCCTCGTGGTTCGCCAAACAAAAATAGAGGATTCAAAATCAGTACGAAAAAACCGGACAATTTTTACAAACACGTAGGACTTTGGAAAGGGGTGTACAGCACGTTGATGGACCGGATACGTCCCTGGGGACTGGACGGACTCCTTTCTTGATTTTTTATAAATATTAATACGGTCATCTCTAGTTTTGTTTCCTATTGTAAAATTTTTCTATTGATTATTGTGACTGTTGACTGTAGCTTTTAGTAAAAGATGACCTTGGTATGAGGTAAATTATACAATTGTAAATTTGTTTTTTGTAATTAAACTTGACTTTTGCTGTTAACGTGCAATTATTGAATTTTTTTATTTGTTCTATATACGTGTGAATCCTTTAAAAAATAATTAATCAAACAAGTTTCTTATAACAGGGCGCGCACGTCATACTCAAAAATAGGTTCTTGCTATTTAGAAACCGGGGCTCATAGATCGTCTTTGCGTAGATTGCAGCCCACACAAATGTAACAGAGAAAAGGTTAAAACAAAACATTTTTTATTTCGAAATCGTATTTTTAACTTTTAACTTCCTCGTTTCAACATCGTAAGTTTTCTTAACCATTTAGCTATTTTTATTTTCAAATTACCACTTTTTTATTTGAAAAATTTTTTATTCATTACTACAACCCCTTTTAGGGGTCCTTTAAGTTAAAAATAGGTAAACAATTTAACGTTACTTTTGTTCCCGTTTCGTAATAAAAAAACATGTAACTCTGTTTTGGAAAAAAAAACATTTGTTTTATTGTTGATCGTGTCGAAATCAGGATATTGTTATAATTTTAAAATAGGTAATAATATTTTTATTGTACCTACTATTTACGCAACAGATTGACGTCCATTTTAAGTTAAGTACTTTATTTCGTAAATAAAATATTTCTGTAAGTTTTGCAATTCCGCAAACGAAATGTAAAACGGTTTGCGCCATAATTAGAACCCTTAATTTGACCCTTTTAAACTGTTACATAACTAAAAAAATACGGAATTGAAACACAAAACAATAATAAAAGTCATGAAAAAAAAGTACTTTTATTTCTTTATATATTTGCCCATGTCGAAATTAGGTGGTAGTTGGCCGGGTTTTCCTCACAAAACGAAGATATAAATGTAGCAAAATATTAACCTACATAATTTGCTTACTATCAGAAAACACTTTCAACTTTCCTTTTGGAACACTTAGGTGTGCAGTGGTAGGGGGTGACTGCGGACTGCAATGCATCCGAAAGGACGCATGTACTTACACCATACTCCTGCCACCTAAAGGGGGAGGGATGGTAGTAAAAGGTACGTGTTTGCAGGTCACTTTCGCTTTCGTTGCATTCATGGATCCACGAAGAGGATGGGGAGGTGATTGCACTTTCTCTGACCTTCAACCTCCCTAGCTAACATAACATTATGACAGAGCTTAAAGTAAAGGGACTTTCCCATTTATAGAATGTATGCTCACTGATATTAAAGAAGGAAAGGTGCGTTTCTTTTTTGTTTTTGTTTTTTTACGTAGCAACGTTGTTATTATTTTGATTAGTATGATTGTTGTGGATAGTGATCATTATGAGGTTGATGACAAAATTGCCGCAAATGAGATCTAATTTCTAATACATCATTATATTTGCTTTTAATCTTACACGGTTACGGTAATCTTACACTACCATAAGATAATGTGACGTTTTTTTGCTGTTGTTTTTGATATCTTACACCGCATTGTGTGTCCTCGGTAGTGGGACGTAGGTACCTACAGAAGTACTTCTGCCATGGACACCCGTGTACCTATTATTCTGAAGATAATTTTCGTTGCTCTGATCGAGATTATGAGTATTGCTATGTATACAGATCAGAAACGGCATGAACTAAGGATTTTATATTTAAATTAGAAAACCAAATAAATCAATTGGTGTAATTTTATGGCTAAATAAAATAAAATAATTTTGTGTCACTTCAATTAACTTTTATTAAAGTAATTTAAAAATATTATTCAATATTTTGACGCTTGTGTAGATATTGTTATATTTAACTGTATTGAGAAATAAAAGGCCTTTTTCAAAGGCTGATAATCTACAGAGCAATTAATTTAAAATAAACCGGGATAGTAGTGTATATTTTAATTTAAGTATGCTGAAGTTAAAGATTTGCATGAAAAACCTATGTACTGCTTAAAATTGGGTCAATATTGGATACATACCTGTTTATGGAATGTGTAGCAAACAACGACCGTATCGCCTGATAACGATTGCCGGGAATAGAATATAACAAACTTCTTGACTGAATTGTTGCTGATGTGCTACCGGTATCCTAACTTGAATCAACCACTTAAATGATGAGATATTTACTTTATAGTGTTTCGAAATCGAAACTTCTCGAAAATTAAGAATGACACCTATTAAAATTCCAGGAGGCCTCGAGGTCAGCCGTAAACTTACGCAGACACTAAGGCAAGAAAATTCTCCTGAAGAAAGTTCTAATTACACTGGTCACTACATAGATGTGTAAATGACCAATGTATTTAGAGCTCTTCGTTTGTTCTGTTTTTTTATTTGACAGTTTTTTCACTTGTTTTCCTTGAACATTTTGTCAGTGTTTTGGAATTGTTTTAACTACGTTCAGTGCATTTTCTGATATAGTTCAGTCACGTTTCGGTGGCAGGCACCCGATTTAAATAGTGATCTTACTCACTTACACTCGAGAACACACGTCAAGTGAATTGGTAGGAATCGGTGGCGTGTAGTTTTTTTGGATTTTGAGTTGGACGTTTAGAAAAGTATCGCGTTACATTAGTATAAAAAGATCAGTTTGCTTACTTATTTGGAACGATTGAAATGCACATTTTTTTATTAGTTACCTTTATTATATTTTCAAATTATACTTTAACCAAAAATAGATAACGAAATACCTAGTACAGATTAATCCTAATACCAAACCGATCCAAATTACTTTCGCTTAGTATTGTTGTTTACGAAAAAGTGTTGAGTGGACTAGCGTCGTGACGTCATCAAATGAGAACGACCCAAAGGCCACTAATAAGTGGGCCAACGTGGATATCACAACGGTCTTTTTTCGTCCCAAACTCTTTGCAAAGGGCAAACGAAAAATTCAACAAAATATTATTTAACTTAGATACTTATCCATTTTAGCATTCTTGTTTTATATTGTTAATACTGATTTATGTAAAGGATTGATTGTACCTTAATCTCAAAAAAGAGATTATTTGTATTCAGTGAATTTTTCTTGTCGTGCTACTCAATGAGGAAGTGCACTTACAACCGTTTCAATGTAATAAACCTGACTTTTTATCACTGTCTAAAGTTTATAACTGGCCAATGTAATTAGTTTTTGAAGTTCAACGCGTCTATATTACGATAGTGAAGTAGTAAAGGCTCAATTAAATTATTTTCATTAGCAGTAAACGTATACGTGTTAGTCGCAAACTAAACCTAATGAGTCCCATAAGGCTCAAAACGACTCAGAGGCTGGAACTTCTTATTAATCGTAACCGGAAAACTATTCTTACAACATAATCAACTTTCTTAGAAATCAGTGTGGTTCCTGATTACCTCATTATTGTTTTATTCTACTTACATTTAAATAAATAAAAAAGTTTATAAATAAATAAAAAGTTATCGAGAACATCGGCGCGGCTCGTAAAGAGTCGTAACGAGCGGCCGCAATAAACAGTGTAGGTACGGGCGTGCGTTCCGAAAGGCAAATCTGTAAATTCAATTAAGGTTCGAGCATTTTTCGGACACAGGCGTCCGGAGCGAGCCACGCAGCCCTTCCGCCGCGGGCTCTCGCCCCCGCATTGGAAAATTTTCTCTCGAAAATTGAAGATATTTCGTGCCTTCTCCCTGGGGGCGACTCGTTCCTCGACACTTATGGTCGGCGTCCTCCGGGTGTGCAGGAGGCTTTTTACATAAAGTCCACACGTATAGGTATCGATCGTGGGCGGCCGGACAGGGTGTACGCAGATGACGGCCCCCAGCGGCTCCCTCTAACCCCCTCGCTTCCCCCTTTCATTATGTAAGTGCGTACCTAACGCGTGCTCGCGCGGACCTGATTAGGGGGCCTCTTTTTTAACTGACCCCCTCACTTGGTGCGATTAAACTTAATTTGAGAGTGTCCTGCGAGAGGCGATTAAGTTTCACTAACAACTAAGCCTTGAAATATTGTTCGCAATTTGTTACGCTACGCCAAATGCGACAATGGACCGGCGTCCGCCTACATATATTACTGTCTGATCGGCCGGTGTTGGTCGTTAAGGAGACTTTAGTGTCTAATTCCATTTAAGTAACATTGATTTTGTAAAACAGGTTTGTAAATTCATTAATGTTCAAAAACAAGATTCAGTTCACCACACTGCTTTAACAAAATGAGTTCAGAAGAAACTCTTTTCCTTGAGTATTTTAAAATAAAATGTTCAACCCATCCTATTGTAGTCGTTCAATTTACCTGGCCGCACGCAGAACTGATCCGTGCCACATCGTCCGAACTCCCAACAGAGCATAATTTCCACTGGACGAATCTTAAAAGAGCCCAAAACTTCTCGGAAAAGATGAAAAGGGGTATGTCTACATTAAGTATTCGAAAAGTGGAATTGTACAAGAAAAGCAAAGTCTTGTTTTAAAGGAGGACGGGGTCTTATATCGAACTTTTCCAATGATCGGACAACGAAGAATTTTTCAATATAGATGTTTGGCGCATCTTCTATCATTTATATTTTAGTATTCCGTTAGGGAGAACCGTGGAGCTGCCTTCGTCGAGTTTGTTATTCAATCAAATATTAAATGTTGTACTTTGTGAAGTTATGAGCCGAAGTTGGCAATTTATTAGTTAGTTGTTACACTGTACAGAATTTAACATTACAAAAACGGTTGCATAACGTCAACCACATCCCAAATTACTTTGTGGGTAGACATAATAAGATTGAAACTATTTGATTAACTATCTATTTATTACACAAAGCCAAGTAATAGATAACATTTTTATGACGAAAACCTTAAACTTCTTGTATAGCTTTACTCGTTTTACCCACAATGTCGTTAATGTATCTATCAGTAATTATTCTTCCTAGAGTTCACGGCTTTCACCATCACCGCGCGAAAACCAAATAAACAGACCTAGCTATTAATGTAACAAAGTGGAATCGAGTCATCCATCCGATGTCATTCATAATAATTATAATTTAATTATTTGACAGAGTACTTTTTGTTTTCAATTTTTTTTTCTCAAAGCGAGTTTAACTCCACTGACGTCGTTGTTCTCGGCATCGCCCGAGTTCGTAGCCGGTATACCTACTTACTATAAATAGTATAGTTGCTCTCGTAGATTTGGACAAATTAAACATCTTCCATTTGGTAGGTACCTATTACTGTTGCCTACCCTCCGATTAGCCTTCGGGCAACAGATCTGACAGCCCTCGATAAAGAGTTATTAAAAGCAGATTTGTAAATTTAAAAATAATTTTCCTTTACTTAGGATTTGATTGTGAATTGCTCAAAGATGTTCATTAGGGATCTGTCTACTTATACGTAAATAGGTAAAGTTGCTTTAGTATTATGATTACAAACTTATCAATACTAATCTGAACTCTTCGATACAGAGTACAACAAATTCAATAGCCACTGATAATTTCATATCATCAGCCTATAAGAGCCCACTGCCGAGCAAAGACCTCTCCTCCCACGAATTAATCACTACGCTTGCTCTTGCTTATAATTAGAAGTATAAGTCCAGGGTTCCTCATGAGGTTTTCGTTCACCGTATGACAGTGTTGTTTAAATAAACTTAGAAAGTACATACACCTTAGAAGAACTCACATGGTACTTGCCAGGTTTCGAACCGAGAAGGTGCACCTTCTCGGTTCGTTGTTCTCGTTCGTTGGGCGGCGCTGGTATCTTACCTCTGCCGACCTATTAGGTACATAAAATAATAATTAAGACTATTGTGGGTATTCATTGATAATATCTAAATATTGTATTTTTATTAACTTAGTAAAGATTTTATTAGCGTAACTTACATCGCGCGTCGTTTGTTATGTCATTTATGTACGAGATTATCACTTTGCGCCATATATTTTTGTTGTTCCCTGTATTACACACTACGCTTGTTTTTCAGCCGTGGGTGCATTTACAATATTACATATTGTATGTCTCTATTGTATACTCATACTAGAAACAAACATTTGCAAATCACACATAAAAAAATAATATATAATGTTAAATAATAAAATGTTAATTAATAATTAAATATATAATGTTGTTCAGTGCTGGAATCGATACCAGTATTCTAAAGCATTTATGAAATCAATCATAAACATACAGATTAAAGCCTCTTTTCTTTAAAAAAGGACAGGTAGACTTATTAAAAAAAAAAGTTAATGGTAGCCCGCCTAATTAAAATTTTGTTGCTTTTGAGTACATATTGATCAAAAAGCAATATTGTAATAGTGCAGAAATGTTATCGATATACCTATTCAATTTTAAAATTAAATCTGTTGTACAAGAAATATCTACTTCTTTTCTAGTTATTGGCGGTTTAGGTGTTGTGTTTATCATCATTAATTATAATCAACAGCCTATAAGTGTCCACTTCTAAGCTAAGGCCTTTCCTCACGGAGAAGGTATCTATAATCATAAATACGATGTTTTACTTCACCCTTTGCGAGACTTAGAAGTTATTAGATCTAACCCGAAAAAAGCCACATGGCCACATTATAAACCAACTTGCCACTGCAGTTACAGATATAGCGAATACTGTTATCGCAACCACGGCGTTATTTTGTAGTCTTCGTAACGATGTTAGCAAAACTCTTGCTTGATCATATTCTAAGCAGCCAGTTCATGTATGTCCAACGTTGGACCGATATGACCAAGAGGTCGTATCGGTCGTATCATGTCTATCGTATCGGACGCACCGTGTCAGTCGTGTCGGATTTGTCGTGTCAGTCGTCTGAACCAACTTCAGGTTTCACATAAAGTAAAATAAAATAATTGTTATATTAAAAATTCTTATTTATTATTAATCACAATATAATTACAATAGAAAAATGCTGCGTGCTAATATTGAAAGATTTAATAATATATAAACTAAACTTATTATAAATGTGACTTTGAAAACTGCCCCGGAGTATGCTCGTGTTTACTTGTACTGTTGCTGCTCTTTCCGCCTGTACTGCTGCGTTGTTCAACAGAGGGCCATTAACGAAAAGCCCCACTGCAATTGCAGCTATAGCAGATACTGTTACTGCAACTACGGCGTCTTCAGAGCAGCACTCTCGATCATACTCTAAGCAGTATGTTCCTGAATCTGCGTAGTAGTAATAGCAACGTTCTCGATCATGATCTGAACGGTAGTAACCCGATTGCAAAGCCAGAAAATTGTTGCAAAACCTGGTTTCGAACGAGCACCTTCATGCATGAATACGACTTAATTATTGTGTTAATAAGCCTGTAAATAAATTCATACCACATATGAACCGATATCGACGTTGATTTAAGTAAGTATACCTATCAATTTGACCAAAACCCTTTAGCTTGATTCTTCAATATAGATTATTGTAAGGTTACCTAAAATTATACGTCTGGCGATGGTATGAAGATCCGAAATAAGGAAAAGGGTTGATTTTCTTTAGATTAAAATTTTAAATCATTTGTTTAAATGTTGTAAACATATTCTGCAAGTTTAGTGTCATCAATTACGTTAGTTACAGCCTCCAAGGACTCCAACATAGCCACGAAGATCTTGGCATAGACACTTACGTTTCTGTAGCTTTCCTTTTTTTTAATTAATGTAAGCTAAGCAAGCTAAAGTTGTTTTGCAAAAGTAAAACTACTTTTCCAAATTTGTGTTGTTCCAAACTTTAAAGGCAAAAATCTTTCTTCGATCTACAAATCGTTATTGGTATGATGGTTATTTTAAATATTGTTTGTAAACGTCCCTGCGACACAATATCAAGTCTTATAGAGGGTCAACGGTTAAAATAAAATCATCACTATCAAACAATTTAAGATTTTATACACTTAAGAACAGCGACATCTGTGCTATAAACCTAGAAGTATTTCATCTTTTGTTCATGAGAGCGCGTTGCGTTGGATTCAAGATTAATGTGACCACCACCCAACAGATGGCGTTATCTTATATTTTTCACATTACATTATAGGTACCACATTGTTGTAGATAGAACTTCTAGTATTATCTGGTAGATGGCGAACGAATGTGTGATTTGCGCGATTATTAATTTAGTATTTTTCAAACCTTATTTTATATTTCTAAGTATAATTATTTATTGATGATCTGTTCATCAAATTACCGAACCTTTTCATATTTTGTGTTAGATCAAGTTTTGTCATTAAGTCTCTCTCTCCTCATCTAGAACAGGACCGGACGGTATCATTCATTTGACAACCGAAGATAAATTATCATCGAAATAAAAAAGATTCTATTAAAATTTACTAGGTATCGCCCAAAAAAACAACCTCGACTTTGGACAATTATATTTATTTTAATAATCATTAAGAAATGGAGCCCATAAACGGTCCTCATAATTATCCACTGTGCAAAATCACTCTAAACACTCCCGGGTGGGAAAAGCAAAAAAAGAATAATAATGAAAAAATACTTAATTAAGTCACCAAAATGTATGAAGCCGAATGAACTCCTTTAATCTTAAAAATAACATGTTCATCAACTATTTGCTGCAAGATTCTTAAAGTTTTTAACTGACTTGGTATTTATTAAGTAGATATTTTCGTAATTCCTGCAAATGATGTAGGTATTGTGATTTGAAAACGATAAGGCATATAATGACGATTGGAGCACGTATTCTACTTAATTTTAATATATTCTAAATACCAAATCAGCCTTAAATTAGCTACTAACTTAAAGAGAAATAAATCTAAGAGGGTAATTCCGAGTCGGGCTACTCATGTCAGCATCGAGATTTGCCAGAGCTGAAAACAAGCAAAAAAGTCCATTAATAAAAGCTCACACTCAAACCGTTTTGTGAGGACTATCTAGAGGATACGGTGGCGGTATGCCCTGCCTGGGCTGAGCACCGCCGTGTCCTCAGGGAAGTGATCGGCGGCGGCGACCTCTCGCGCCCGGCCTTAATCGAGGCCATGGTACGAAGTGAGAGGAACTGGGACGCCGTCTCCTCCTTCTGTGAAGCAGTTATGCTCGCAAAGAGAGAGGCGGTCCGCGAGGGAGTAATCCTCCTCCACACGCCCCAGCTGCCGCAATAGGCGACACTACGGGCGTCGGGGATCAAGGGACGATCTCCGGGCACCGTAAGCGCGGGTCTGCGGTTGGCGAGTAAGGGCAGCTCGCCGCCCGACCAGAACCAGGCCCGAGCGTTCGACGCGTAGCGTTCCGCGCGCGCCTCAAAGAGCCAATAGACCATCACAGACGGGCCCCTATGTTCAGCCGGGGTTGCGGGGTAAGCGCAATGAGGCACCGCGACCTCGGCCTAGAGCAGGAGAAGGAACAAGGGGGTTTTTAGTCAGTAAGAGTCTGACACTCCCTCCCGCTCGGCCCCGGGCAGGAGAAGCCATTTGATTTAATCTCTTGTTAAGTCATCTGATAGGTGGACTGAATTATCAACAACCAATCAAATGACTTGACAAGACATTTGACACCTAGTTAGTTAATTTTAACATTGATCGGGCTTTCGGAAAGCGGGCATAAGAGTAACACAATATGACCAAACACTATAACATTTAAAAAAAAACTTGGATCTGCGGACGGCGAGTAAGGGTAACTTAGTCAGTAAGAGTCTCACACTGAGAAGTATTAAGACGATTTCCACCTCACAAAAAAAAAAATGCAAGAAACAGACCGATAGTTTGAGTTACAATACTAAAAACATCTTACTTTAACTGCCTCAGTGTTTTCCTTAATATATCCAAAAATATTTCAGCGTGCTTTGGTTGGAAAATAAGAGCCGGTCGAAGACGAATTGAAGACACTCCACATGCTCCTCCAAGCACACCTGTAAAATAATGATACAGAATATTAATTATATTATATTGTGACGGAAAAGAGTCATCATGACGTCTATGAATCGTTGTCAAACGTTGCCTTGACAAAGAGTTCGAGTCCCGCCGTAAGCATGGAGTTTTTAGTTGATGGAAATTTTGTGTAGAACTTTCTGAAAGCTTTTGGGTGAAAGAAATGGAAAATTAAAGAGCGAGAAGGAGAATAAAAAAAAATTATTATTAAAAAAACAAAATACCCGACTGCACACTAAAAAAAGAGTAAAACAAGCCCCACAATACAAATTTACTGAATATAATTTATAAATGTTGATGGAAAGCATCGCAGGTGGGGACCAACAGAGGCTTATTTATAGTCATTTCTGTTGTGCACCATTTAGCAGAATTTTCGTTGGTGGCGGTCAAGGTGGTCCCCGCCTGCGATGCTTTCCATCAACATTTATAAATTATATTCAGTAAATTTGTATTGTGGGGCTTGTTTTACTCTTTTTTTAGTGTGCAGTCGGGTATTTTGTTTTTTTAATAATAATTTTTTTATTTATAACTTTTTAGCTGTTTTTATTTAACGAAAATGTTGTAGATGTAGAAGACTATGTATTTGTAAGTACCATTTTAAATTATTTCGACGACATTTGGCTTTAGATTACGAGTGATGTTACTCCGCAACATATCCGCACCGCGCCGCGCGCCGCATGCCAGGCCACGCCCTATCTTTTTGCTTGCTAACGCATGAGTTGCTTTGCGTTGACGCAGAATTAACATGTTCCCGTGGGAATTTTGAGAAAAAACGTATCCTATTTTAATTACTCCCGTGATTGAAATGAATCTAATGATACCGCATACATATTTTTTTAAAGGGAAATTTAGAAAAAATATTATTATGTCTTTATCCCGTGGGACTTTTAGGATAAAATGTATCCTATGACACTCCCGTAATCAAGACAAATCTAACGATACCTCATACATCAAAATCCATCAAGCCGTTTAGGCTACAGGAGGTCACAAAGGAAAAGACATACATACATACTTACATACACTCGAAAAACATTACCCTCCTTCTTTGGCAGTCGGGTAAAAAATGAATAATGAAATTAATAATGAAAAGACGAACGAAATTGAATGTTCCAGAACCTGACCCATACCTGTATATAAGCGGAACTGCGGCTCACCGCTGGCAGTTGAGTTCTAAGAAGCGATTCGGAAGAAAAGGAAGAAGTGAAAAAGAAGAAAAGTGAGTGAAATAGTGAAGTGCAGTGAAATAGTGAAGTGCCGTGAGTTAAGTGAGTTAAGTCAGCGTGCACTGTGAGCGGCAAACGGCAGTCTGTGTCAGTCGCCCGGACTCTGCTGGAGAGGAACGCCGATAACTTAACTCCGTGGACGCTGTCACTTAATTTCAATAGAAAGTCTGAAAACCGGTATTAGTGTTTAATTTCATCCAATCCCCTAACCTAAGCCCGCATAGTCAGGAACGTGACGTCAGGCACGTAACAATATTATATCATAATTTTCTTTTCTCTTGCGTCGTGGGTGCGTTTACAAACATACAAATTCACAATACACAAACGACTCATTTGTGTAAGTATGTGACTGAGTCGTTTGTGCAACAACACCGTGTTCCGTACGTGCCGGAATCGAACCCAAGCCACGTTACACGACAGCCATTTGCCCTGCCATGCTTAGTGAAGACACAAATAAATCGACGGCTCTATGTGCATCAGTTAATTAATTTATCAGAACAGACTTTGACTGCACTGTAGGCGCGGTGGCTGGGCAACTGACTGCCGCGCAACGTGTCTTGAGTTAGTTCCCACACAGAACAACTCTTTTTCTGAACCACAAATTTGTCCGGAATTTTCAAATTGTTCCGGGCCTGGGTGTGCATGTGAAATTGTATTTGTAAACGCACCCACGACACAGGCGAAATCCTATTGTAGGGCAAAGTCTTTTTTAGAATAAATGATACGCTGTTTACGTATGAAAACATAAAATAATTATTAAAATTAACCCGAATATTAAGTAATCTCTGAAAATGTGTAAAAGAATCAAACAATCTCTGTCTATGTACATTCTACCGGTTCATTAAGTCTAAACTAAGGATACCACTATTGATGATAAGTTAACAGATTGCAGTCCAAGGTTAAAAATACCAATACCAATAATAAATAGGTATCATAATAATATGATCAGATCTTGAAAATAAAAATATCTAAAGCTTACCATTTTGTTTCATAGTTTTGATAATATTATCCCTTAAATTTGGTTTGACGACATTGAATGCCAAAAATGTGCCTCGACCACGTACGCTGTTCATCATTGCTGGGAATTCGCATTCTAGTTTATACAGACCACATTTAAGAACCTTCCCTGTCTCTTCGACTAACTGTAGAAGGTTATCATTTTTTATGACCTGGATAACTTTTTCCAAGAGAATCAACTTTGATGGATCTCCCATCCACGTGTTGAAAATTCTTAAGGGTTGTGGTGGCCTGATAAAAAGAAAAAATATAATTAGGCGCTTGTGGGCACAAACACAATTACTTACTTGAAGTGTAGTTGTACTTGTGGCACTACCACAAGTAGTTCATTCTTTTTAACAGACTTAAACAAAAGAGGATCTAAGTTCGATTGTTTGTATGTATTCATGTATGTATGTTTCTATGAAAGTAGTATTATGTATGTATGTTTGTCCGCGATTATCTTGCGTTTGGCTAAAGCTATTTGGATGGGGGTTTCCGAAAAGTATTTGTTACATTCAAGAGAAGTATTTAGTGTTTTATTATTAAGTAGCTCTTCAGATTTTTAAATACCACAACCTGAAATCTACAGTACACATTCATTTTACTCAAAGAGTAACAAAAACTTACATATATTCCGGTTTGAAATAAAATCCTCCTGTTAACATTTTCTTGCTGAATGTGACCAAGTCAGGCGGGGAAGGTAAATTGAAATGTTCGTGACACCACATTTTACCTGTCGGCCCACATCCAGTTTGTACTTCATCCAAGATCAAACCCACTCCTCTCTGAGAGAGAGACAAATATTTGCTAATATTGTATTTGCTAATATGATTTCTAACTACATAACACACTTTAGCGATTTGTCAATTATAAAGTTATAAATCATTTTATTGACAAATGCAGTGTGTGCGGAACTTAGTGTGGGATAGCCAAGCTTCGACACGAATAGGTCAACTCGATCGGAGTGATACAGATACAGACAGAAAACCGGCTTTAAACAACCAAACCATTATGTTTCGCCGTGTGAGTGAGACCGGAGGCCAATCACTGCCTCTCCCACATCCCTTTCCAATCCTTAAATATCCAAAACCCTTATCACTAAAAGGCCGGCAACGCACTCGTAACTCCTTTAGTGTTGCGGGGGTGTCCATGGGCGGCGCTGATTGTTTACCATCAGGAAATCTATTCGCTCGTTTGCGAACGCTCGAAAAACTGTTACTGAACTGTTATTTACTGTGTAAAACTATAGAGCTTTTCAAATGTCTCCCATGTAAAACAGTTTCCTTTCTAACTACCTCCATAGGCGACAAGGTTTTGACTTGTTAACAAAGCTATAGGTCAATTGAAAACAGTCAACGTTGGTCAACAATGAATAAATAAAACTTACGGTTTGACATATTTTCTGTAATCCTTGGAAAAACTCCGGTGAACCTTCGTTATCACCACCTTCCGCCTGAATAGGTTCAATGATAACACCAGCAATAGGCTTTTTCTTTTCCCACCTTTCGAATTGTTCTTCAACATTCGCGAGACATCTTAAATAATTGTCGATTATATTATTAGAAACTTTGCGATAATAAATCATATAAATTATTATATAATTAATTTATATAGGTTATCAAAGTACCTATACTTTCAAGTACTGAAAAGATAAATTGAAGTATAAAAGAAAAAGACAAATAGAAAAATGTAAGGAAACTATCTCACTCTTTGTCTTCCTTTTCATTTTCACATTTAAACTCTTCTAAAGGATACTTGTATTCTGGGAATCTAGCAACTGGCCACTCAAAACTTGGGAAGTCCAGTTTGTGAATCGCTTTCGACCTTGTAGTTGCCAATGCCCCAAATGTACGTCCATGGAAGGCTCCGTTATTTTTCAAACCCTGAGAATGACAATCGTAAATTATTATTTAAACATAAAAGTACCTACTCTGTAATTAAACAACACGACAATTTAGGGATTAAATTGAGAATGAAATGCATTTTTAACACAGGCCATTCCTACATTCTTGTAGAGGAGGTCATTTCCCATTGTTAACTTATATTTTTATAACTGGAGACCTAATTCTTCCCCATCCCTACTACCTCCTCAATCCCTAAATTTCCAAATCCCTTATCCCAAGAAGGTCGTCAACGCAGTCGTGCCTCCTCCGTTGTTGTGGGTGTTTATTGGTGGCGTTGATTGCTTACTATCAGGTAATCCATTTGCTGAATAAATGTATAATACATTTTAATAATTGTGAGTAAAACATACTAACTTTGAATGACAGTATTGATAAATTTGGTGCTCCTGGAGGAATATTCTGAAGAGCTGACTTTATTTCTTCATCTGTAAATGTTGTCTTGCCTCCACGTTTTTTAATACAATATAAAATGAACGCTGCTTTAAATGCATTTTCATTGGAGCAAGCTCCACACATCATGGTCATGACATGCTGCAAACCTGGTGGTGCAATTGACAATAGAACATCTCGTAACTTTTGAGGCCAATCGTCTGAAGGGAATACACCAAGAGCAGGACGATTAACCAAAGCTCTCTGAAAAATATATACAATATTTAAATGAATATTATGGATGGTTAAGTTTATTTTTATTATAATGCATATTTTAATGACGATTATATTTTTATTAAAATTGAACATTTATTATTGATAAAATCTAATGGCGAATAACATGTGAAATGATTCGGAGTTACAAACCACATCACTATCACAACAGAAAGCATTTAAAAGAGCTGGATGGTTGTATCCGAGAGGCAATGAAGATATCTGCGTGTAAGTATCCAACAGGAGATTTCCATCTGCGTCCGCCAAGTAATTCCCAGCACATCTCTCAAGGTTCGAAAATAATTGCACTGATCCACATTGCTGAAACAATAAAATACGCATCTTGGGAACGAATTTATGTAGCTCAAAATATGAAACTTGTCCTACATCTGCCCTACCAGAAGACCTAAAGATACCTATCTTTCAAAAAGAGAATAATTCTACTAATGTAACATAAAAACTTATGATACACTATTACCTCTAATTTAAGAAAAAATCCTGGACATATGTGAAATACACCTACGTGGTGGTAAAAGCTATTATTGCCTAAACTAATACGTTTTAATATATACTATACATAGTCACTTACTTGAATACCCATCATTTCTTTAAAGAGTTCCTTAGATTTTGGACCTGGGATTTCTGTTTTTATCTGTGGACACGGCGGCTCTTGGTGCTCCGTGCAGTATGAAATCCCATAGTTTCGACGTTCTGTGTGAAATAATAAGTTTAGGCTACAAGGCCTACAGATGTTCGTTGAGTAGGACACAATATTTTTTGGTATATGTAAAATTGTAAATCTAAGGTAAAGATTTTCATAGTTGAACCAAAATCAAAAAGTAGAAAAAAAAATTTATTAAGCGCCTAGCTTTAAACGTTTAAAATTTCTAGAATATCTAAATTATACATATGTATAAGTAGTAATTGTTTCTTAACCATTAGATTTTAAAATGGCCAAAAAATTACATTGCTCTAATTGTATACCAACATATAAGTTCACGGTACCTACCGCGACCCTGTTTGCACTTGGGTAACTACCCAAGTTAAGTAACGTACTTACTTATTGATCATTGTGGAAATACTTGTGCTATACAATCAATCGCATATAAAATTTGTTAAAGTGTTAGTAAGTAATTACGTGAACAAACACACCGTGTTAGCCATGAATATTATGTCTCGAGTTATTAACATTTTATTAATCGCAAAAGAACCGGTCTTTCCGTACACTTTCCTCCTACCCTACACAATTGCATATTAGTCCTGCCTAGTATATGTGGGACAGATGAATAATTTTGAAGTTAGTGTTAAAACATTAAACAACGTACCTTTTGCAAAAAGAGCCGTTAAAGATGACCTGCTCAATAAAGTGAAGCGTCGCCGCATCTTGAAAAGAATAATTATAAGAGGGGTGAAAACCTCAAATGCTGCCTCTGGATGGTGCGAAAGGGAGTGTCAGACTCTTACTTATTACAAAACCACCTAGTCCCTCCTCCAGCTACGGGCCCGGATTATTAGAGAGCTAATTAAAAGATTTCATCATCAGCCTATAAGTGCCCACTGCTGAGCAAAGGCCTCTTCTCATACGGAGAAGGTTAGAGCATTAATCACCACGCTTGCTCAATGCGGGTTGGCGATTTCAAACTTATAATTAGAAATTATAAGTCCAGGTTTCCTCACGATGTTTACCTTCACCGTAATATGTCAGTGGTGTCTAAATAATCATAGGAAGTACATATAACTCGGAAAAAGTCACATTGGTACTTGCCAGGTTTCGAACCCATACCTTCGTGCATGAGAAACGGGCCCCTTAACCTCCGGGCCACCACGACTTCCTTAAAAGATTTGTTCTGTTCTAAATAGTGTGAGAAAATCTTTTTACAACACAACTTGTTAATAATTTCTCATGTAGGTAATAACATTGAATGCCACTGCTTTTTATTTGCATTGAATTTATTAGACGTATCTCACGAAGATATGCAGCTTGGTTTACCTTATTAATTCTAAGGGCTGTTTTTTCAATGGTTAGATAAAAGTTACCTGCGGAATAATCATGATGCTGTCGCGTCATAATGTTTGTATAATACAGTGACAGCAACAATTTTATTCCTCAGAAGATAACATTTATCTGAGTATAGAAAAATCAGCCCTAAAAATAATATTTATCAATAAAGTGAGAACAAAAATTGTTACCGAAATATGTGAAGATTCCGACGCTTAAGATCGCGGGTGACGCAGCAAATACCTCCTAAATGATAATTATTTTGAAATTGGTATCAATTACTTACTTAGAATACAATAAGCTCGATTATAATAAAATAAACTTTTTTCATTGTGCAAAAGTTAAGCAATGTAGTTCTATTTTTTTCATAATTTTCCTCGTAGTGTAAAGTTAGGTTAAAACTATTTAAATATGACTTACGTTTCTATATAAAATATGTTCTTTCAAAACGTAAATAAAGCGCACTTATAAAAGTAATAAGTTAAAACACACTTAAGTATATCGATAATCACTAAACCCACCAAGATGCTGTCATGTTAGTGGTGTCATTATATCTATATTTTTTCTGTTTGACATAAAATAAACAGTCACAAAATAGGTTTTTATAAATTGAATAGGTATGAAATAAACTCTACGTAATAACTTCCTAGTCAGAAATATATTTTCGCTCTGAGTTTATATACGTAACTAGGAGATGCCTGAATCAAAAAAAGTCACCAGCATAACAGAAAAACTGTAGCATGAAGATAACTATTTATTTCTTTTTAAACCCTGCCCGCACTTTTGTTATCTTCTATGTAAAGGGTACACAAACAAGGTAGAAAGCTAAAAATCGGTATGCAGGCTATTTTTTTACTAAAAGATAGGATGAAGTTCCAAAGGGGAATGAAGGGAAAAATAAACCATTTCGAAGTTGTGAAGCTCATAATCACAATAGTTACCTACACAAACGCTGTTTCCAACGAAAAATAATTGCTTATTCTTTTTTAATATTATGTAAATTTATGCTACCTCAAATTGAACGCGAGCGAAGCTGCAGGCATAAACCAGTAAAATAGTTTTCATTTGGAAACATCGAAGTGTGGGTGCTTAACATGCTTCGGCACAAATGGGTCAACTTGACCGAAATTATATCGCGGAGTCACATTAAACCGACGCGAATAACCAAAATGTTGCGTTTCGTCGTGAAGGTGAGGTGACCGGAGACTCAATGCTTGAGGGAGCTTCCCATCCTTGCAATGAGGGAGGAGCCCTCAATTCCTCCCTAATCTTAGGGATTGTCCATAATCCTAATCCCCTAAAAGGCAACGCACTTGTAACTCTTCTGATATGGCGAGTGTCCATGGGTGGCGCCGCTTGCCAATCGGTAATCCGTCTGCTCGTTTACCGACCTAACACATAATAAAGAGAATATTTTAAGATTGACGAATTTAAATTTGTAATTTCTTCGATGATGAGATGAGACTACGACTTCTTTCCCTTTTTGACATGCATTGTTTGCTCATTTTTTCATTGTGATTTTCAGATTAGCGTTTTTGAACGTTTCTGAAATATTTAATAAATTGTTGTAGGTAGCTTTAAGTCATTAATATATATAATGTAGGTGGGAATAAAATTATCCATCCTTAACCAATACCCTAACCCTGAACTATCTTTAGGCAAAATTGTTAAAACAATTCAGGGAAAAGCCGACAACAATTAGATCTTGTTCGGAGGTGGCTGTCTCTGTTTATGTAAGACAAGTGAGAGTTTTGGGCATGTGATCATAAGAAAAAGCTAGACATGATTCCATTGTTTTCGATGTATTGAGCAGAAAGTCCAAGGGGTTTTGTCATCTTGTTTCAATGCCCTTTTGTCTTCATTTACCAAATCTAAAAAGACTCGTATCATTATCCTGTATTAAAACCTTCTTAAAGATTATAATTGAAAGATAGTTCTTGAGGTATTTATTGTGGCGAGAGTTTGAGAACAATGTCACCTATGGGCACAAACTTGGAGCACATCTGAGCTGCAAGATAGAGTGTGTTATCGCTTGCGATGCTATTTGAGAGAAGTTTAGAGTTAGATACGAATACTCAGCGGTTGGTTTGTAACTTCGGACGAACTTGTTGTCATCTCAATGCGTAGTTCAGTTCAGGTCTTAATTAAATTGTATAGGTACGTTCTGTATTCCAAGTTGGTAAATTCTAGAGTGAAGTCTTTTAAATATGTTAGACATCAGTGAATGTTTACTGTGTGTTAATTTTGTAGATTTACATGGGTATCCACTTATTTATTTTGGTTTTAAGAATGAAGGAAATACATATTACAAATGGTTATTATTTTGTGAACATTATTGATATTATCTGAACAATAATTGGTATTGACCAAAACAGATAACTATTTTTTTTATTTTACGCATTAAATTGGTCCTTTTTGTTACTAGTTAAAGTTTATCTTAATACGAAATTGAAAATAACTACTAAAACAAATTTAAAACAATTTCATTACAAAATTTATTAAAGCGCCATCTTTCCTATTTTATAGGCAACTTTAATTTAAGTAGTTTAAAAACTCACTGCTACGTTGAGCTAGTCGTGAATTTTTCTTCATATAGATATGAACAATGAAAGTTGGATAACTATATATTAATAAAGCACAATGCTCTTAGATCATTAAACTTAATACACTAAAACCATGCTTAAAACAATTTCACTCAAATACTAAGTCAACCGAACGGTTATAGCAAAGCTATATTGTATGTATAACAGTGAAACAAAAATCTAAGTAAGTATAAACCATTCATAACTATTACCATATTTCTCTTTAGGGGCAGATATAACAGATATATTATTAAATTTGTTATAATCACTTTTAACATGATCTTGGTGAACCAAATTAAATGTATATTAGTACTGCCCAGTCTCCAGGCTCGAGATAGACCAAGTTTTTGAAGCTAAACTTTCGTTATAAAGAACCTACAGCTTTGCCTTTGATAGAATATCTAACTTCAGGACAAAGATCAGCTTTTGTGTTGAACATTGTATTATGAAATGTATACAATACTAAATAATGTGCGAATACAATCTAATAATTGTATTTATACATCTTTTTTATGGGACAAGCCCGCCACGAACCTCCGAAAACCGCTGCAACTCCTGGTAAGCCATGATCTACAGTAGATACAACCATGAAAACACTGGAACATTGAAATCCAGCGCGTCCCAGGGACCGAATTAGTTTCCACTTCCCTCGGTAAATTTAATGCAGAAGACAGAATGACTTAAGCTTTAAAGGCACGGAAGAGGCTGTATAACTGTATAAAAGCCCAGTCACCATACGTCTAATGTATAAAGGCAGGTGTTTGGTTTTTATTTGACATCTTTTTAATTTTATAGAATCAGATTGATGACATGACTGCACGGTTGGTGCGGTGGCTGGGCAACTGGCTGCCGTGCAACGTGTCGCGGGTTCGATTCCCGCACGGAACAATTCTTTGTGTGATTCATAAATTGTTGTTCTGGGTCTGGGTGTCTTGTGTATGTGAAATTGTATGTTTGTAACAGCACCCACGACACAGGAGAAAATCCTAATGTGGGGCAAAGTTTTTAAAAAAAAACAAAACGATTTGGAGCATGTGCAGTGCCCACAGTTTTTCACACAGTTTTTTTTTATAATTTCACACAGTCAACAAAGTGTCGTGAATCTATTGTGGCTGAATTACAGGGATCGTTTCTGGGAATCCAGGTCTAATACTTTTTGAGGGGGTAGGAGAACATCTCCTATCTTTTCCAGCTATGTGTGGGGCGAAAAGGTATGTTCAAAGAAACGAGGTACCAGGTAGGAGAGGTCCTACTGCAATACGAGCCGCATAGTACATCGTTGCGCGTGACAGTAAAATATTGTTGATTCAAACAAAACTCCCCATTCCCCAAATTCTCTATCTCCAAATCTCAATAAAAGACACCAATCTGCTTGTTCGTCGTCGAAGTGTATAAAAAAAGACAACTATGTAGTCAACAACAATTAATAAATTGTTGGCAATACGGGCTTTCACTGAATTGATTTTTGAAACGATTCGAATATTTGAGTT